AAATAATAATACTTTTTTAAGTAACCATGTATAAGCGTATTTTCAACTCTGTTCTGTCTAAAAAAATACAAAAAACATTTCGGAAAAACGAGGGTAGCGTAACGTGATTCGTGGACAAAGTCTCTGCCTTGTACGCAGGAAAAGCGATCGGAGATTTCCTTTTAGATAAATTGAGGAATATTACGTGGCGCAGAAGGACAGGCGCACGTTTTGACTTTTGAGAGCTGCTGTTAACTCTTATGGCAAACAACATTACTCTGGACTTTGAAAATATTAGTCCATTATTTGTCACAGATATACATATTTTGGTTTTGAGGTGGGCTATTTTTACGGAGAGGCTGGTGTTTTGCCTGCAAGTAGGGGTTTTTGTTTTTTGTAAGCCATCTGTCGCATAATTATTTTTCACAGACCAGTCTGCAATAATCTAACGTATAGGTGCTAGTACAAGTTCATCCCCCTTTCCATCCTTGTACTCAATGTACATTTCAGACATAAAAAATGCATTTTATTTTCTCTTTCTTTACAGAAATCCGATCCTTCAACCCAAAGCCCAGACCATTCTCCATATCCTCCAACTAGACACACTTTTTGTACAAATAAAATTTTATAAAACACTAAAAATGATCGTAGAGCAGAGCAGCTCTCAAAAGTTGTTTGTGCTTTATTAACGGAAATTAAATGCATTTTAAATTAGGATCCAAGCATAAGTTTTGCTGTAAATATCGCTGTTCCTGCGGGACAAGGACCGCTCAAGTTTTACATATCAACCGTAGACCGGCTTGCTCTGAGGCCGTGTGCCCTTTGCAAGCCAACCCTTGCTCAAACTTTTTGTACGTTGTAGCGGAGTTTTGTAGCTGTAGCAAGCTCTTCGATCCGAGAGAACTTTTTAGCGTCCCCTTGCTCACCTTTTAGCTGTTAGCTTATAGAAGGCTCTCTGTGTATTAGTGTGTAGTCGTCGCTATACCTCTTTAACATGCTTCTCTGTTTCTGTTTCTTTTTTCTTTTACTCTTTCTGTGTCCTGTTTGCTAACCTGCATGTCTCCTTTTCGCGCGTGTGTGTCTGTGTTCGCGCGTACCTGTGCGTGTGTGTGTGTGTGTGTTGCGGTGCCGCGTATGTAACATCCACCAGACACTACTTCTGTCGGGGGAGGGGAGGGCGACCGCGTCGTGTGGCCTCCGCAGCCCGACGACGACAGTCTCCTCCCCGTTGCCACTGCCTGCCCCATCTACGTCCCCCCCAAGCCCTCCGACCCCGTCCTGTTCCCCGCCCCGCCACAGCCGGCTGAGCGCGGCCGCGGAAGGTCGGCCTTCGCGTCGGTCCAGCACAACGAGGGCCGGCCCCGCACACCGACCGTCCACTTCCAGGACGAGGCGGGCAGCCCGTCCAGCCCCGTGACGGTCAACAAGAAGATGTCGATGTGCTCGCGGGAGGTGTGCGACCTGTCGGCGCGCCTGCAGACGCTCACCGCCGCCCTGGCCACGCACATGATGGTGGAGTCGCTGTCGCGGCCGTCGTCCCCCGTCCCGGACCAGAAGATGTCCGAGCCCGTCGTCACGGCCCTGCAGAACATCGTGTACGGCTCCTCGCGCGCCACGCCTACGCCGTGCATACCGGCGCCGCCGCCCCCGCCGCCTCCGCCGCCACCGCGGCTCGAGCTTCCCGACGGCACGGAGTCCGGGCGGCCGCACTCCGTCCGCGGGCTGTCCCCGGAGCCGCGGCCGCCCACCCCCGGACAGCTCGTCTCATTCCCGCCGGACCTCCCGCCGGAGATGTGCTCCAGGTCAGCGTCGCGCACCAGCAGATGCCCCAGCAGGGCGACCAGCAGGGCGGCCACGCCCCAGCCCGAGTGGCAGTCGCAGTTCGTGTCCGCTCTCACCACCGCGCCGACCCGCGGCTACTCACCCTTCGTGCCCGCGTCCACGCTGGCCGGCGGCCCCGGCGGCGGCGTCGTCAGCGGCGACCCCATGGAGGCCAGGCGGCGACAGGAGGAGGCCGCGGCGCGCGCCTCGGTGCAGGTGGAGCGCGCGCAGCAGGTGCAGCAGGCCCAGCAGGTGCACCGGTCCCAGCGCGAGCAGGAGGTCGAGGAGGCGCAGGCGTACGGCCACGCCAGGCTGATGGAGATCGAGGAGGCCGCGTCCTGCGCCGCCCAGTGCAATGTCCAGTGCAACGAGACCACGACGGAGCAGCGGCAGTCTTCGGCGTCACTATACGCCGCCCAAGAAGCGGAGGCCTCGCTCAGCCGCAGGGTCGAGACCTCGTCCGCGCTGCGGCCTGTGGACCCGGGCCCCTCGCTGCAGCCAGCCGCGCCGAGCCCCGCCCCCGCCGCGGGACCGCTCACGGGCCCCATCATGTACCGCGCCACGGCCAGCCCCATCCACATGCGCACGTTCGACGCCGACCTGGTCACCGAGGAGAGGGTCGAGGAGACCAAGATGGCCGCCGAGAGGACAGTGTTCGGCGCTGACGAGGCGGAGACGACAGTCATCGAAAAGGAGATCACGACCACCATTTCGCACCCCTCATCCGGGGAGTCCACCTGCCAGCAGCAGTGCGGTTCAAGCCAGTGTGGCTCAAATCAGTGTGGCCAACAGCAGTGCGGTTCAAGCCAGTGTAGCTCAAATCAGTGTGGCTCAAATCAGTGTGGCTCAAACCAGTGTGGCCAACAGCAGTGCGGCCAACAGCAATGTGGCCAACAGCAATGTGGCCAACAGCGCTGCGGACAAGTCCGTCAGTGCTGCCAACAGCAGAACCAGTGCAGCCAGGGCCAGTGCCGGAGTCGGCAGACGTCTTGCCAGAACACCCAGAGGACGACGTGCTGCTGCCAGCAGCGGTCTGTGTGCTCTGCCTCCGCATGCGGCGCGTCGACATGCTCACCGACGTGCTGCCGCCACGGGCCAGGCCTGATGACGCCCCAGCCCTTCAGGAGGCTGGTCGAGTCGCCCGCGCCTTGCTGGTCCTGCCCCAATAGCGAGCCCTCGTGCCGGTCCACCCCGTGCCCGCAGGTGGCGCAGTCCTGCAGAGCGACGCCGTGTCAGCAGGTGCAGCAGGTGCAGCAGGCGCCACAGTCCTGCAGGGCGACGCCTTGCCAACAGGTTTCACAGCCCGCGCCGACCTGCAGGTCGACGCCTTGCCAGCAGGTGGCACAGCAGGTGACCCAGCAGCCCTGCAGGTCGACCCCGTGCAGGTCCACGCCTTGCCCGCAGGCTGAGCAGCCTGATCGGCTCTGTGAGGTGCCCGTCCAGAAGAACAACCCCGCACCCTGTAGATCAGCGACGCCGGAGAAACCGCACAGGGCGACGCCGAGCCGATCGAGCAGGCCGACCGGTCGCGTGGAGAAGCGATCAAGTCCGTCCCCCATCACGAGGAGGGTGTCTGAGCCCGCGGCGCCCCTGGCGGTCCGCAGCGCCGTGTCCTCCCCGGCGCCGCTCCCTGCCCTGTTGACGCCCCGGCCGACGCCCACGCCCACGCCGCTGCCCCCCACGGACGAGCCGTACATGCCGCGGCCGCCCAGTCTGCAGGCGCCGGCGCCGCGCCCGAAGCGCTCCGTGTCGCCCATCACGGCCGCGGCGCGCTGCGTGTCGCCCTTCCTGGCCGACATGGCGGTGAACGCCATGCGGGCGCACTCCCCCGTGCCCGCGCGCGACGACACGCCGCCGCCCGCGCCGCGCCAGGCGCCCTCGCGCTGGCCGCCGCCCCCGCCGCCGCCGCCCATGCCGCAGCCCCTGTACAACACGCGGAACCCCGTCATCACGGAGGGGCAGAGGCGGGTGCAGCAGCATCAGCAGCTCCAGGAGAAGGTCCAGCGCACCCTCGCGGCGAGGACGCCCGAGCCGGAGCCCGGCCCGCAGGCGAGCGCGTGGACACCCCCCGGCCGCAAGCAGTACGAGCAGCAGGAGAGGAAGCTCAGCCCTTTCCAGGCCAAGATCGACTTCTCGCAGAAAAGTATCCAGTCCCTCACTCTACAACAGGAGATAAGGCAGGAGCAGCAACGGTCTCAGGTCTTAAACCAACAGATTCAGCAACAGAAACAAACGTGGCAACAACCTCAACAGAAAACACAACCCCCACCGGCTAAGGCTCAACAACAGAGGCCACCACAGCAACAGCCTGCTCAGTGGCAGAGGCAGCAACAACAGCCCCCACCACAGCCACAAAAACAATCAGTTCAGTCACAACCGCAACCACCAACGTGGCAAAAACAACAACAACGGCAACCCTCTCCCCAGAGATTGCCTCAGCAGCAACAACCGCAAAAACAGCCGCAACAACTTCCCCAGTGGCAACAACAACAACAACAACAACAACAACAACAACAACAACAACAACAACAACAACAACAACAACAACAACAACAAGTAGCGCCTCAGAAGCAGCAGGCGCCTCAACAACAGCCGTGGCTCCAGCAGCAACAGCAACAGCAGCAGCAGGCACCCCAGTGGCAGCAGCTGCAGCAGCAGCAGTACCAGTTCGACTGGCAGCGCGAGGAGGAGGAGGCGGAGGAGCTGGGGCTGATCCCGCGCCGAGCAGACCAGGACACTGTGGTGGTGTGCGTGTCGCCGACCATCGCGGAGCAGCAGGGCGGCCTCGAGGAACGGTCAGCAGGCCGACAGGGTCTGCAAGCCACCGTGCACCCGGCCAGCGGGCGCCCGAGCGTGCAGCAGGCCGTCCTGCAGCATGGGCCTGTCCACACCTCCGGCCAACAGGACTTCGGACAGCAAAGGGTGTCGTCCTCGCAGAGCTACGAGTCGACCTTCCTCAGCAAAGTCGGCAGGAGCTTCGGATACAGTGCGCAAACCACCACCACCTCGTCGTCGTCATCGACCATGGCCTCGGCCCTGGCCACCGCGCCGCTCCGCCCCTATGAGGACTTCTACGTACCGCCCGCCACGATGCGCACCGAGCCCGTGCCCCTGCCTCCCGAGACCACCCCCTGGGAGCCGCCCCCGCATGACGGCGAGTTCCACCCGTACCACATCCCGCGGGCCGTGTCCCCGGCGGACGGCGCCAAGCGTTGCGTGTCGCCCTTCCTCAGGGACATCGCCGTCTCGGCCATTCGCTCCCACTCGCCGCGCCCCGGCGACCACGACCACGAGTTCCTCGACCAGCGCCGCCGGGAGCAGGAGCAGCACTTGCGCCGCGAGGAAGAGCGTCGCCGCCACGAGGAGGAAGAGCGCCGGCGCGGGGAGGAAGAGCGGAAACGGCGCGAGGAAGAGGAGCGACGCCGACGCGAGGACGAGCGCAGACGACGCGAGGACGAGGAGAGGAGGAAGGAGGAGGAACAGCGGCAGAGGCAGAGAGACGAGGAGAGGAGGAGGCGCGAGGAGGAGGACCGACGCCGTGAGGAGGAGAGCCGGAGGCGGCGAGAAGAGGAGGAGAGGAGGCAGCGAGAGGAAGAGCAGTTGAGGCAGCGCGAGGAGGAAGAGCGCCGGAGGGGAGAGGAAGATCGGAGGCGCCGTGACGAGGAGGACCGGCGGCGGCGCGCCGAGGACGACGAGCGACAGCGGCGCCAGGAAGAGGAGAGGCGGAGGCAGGAGGAGGAGAGACAGCGGCAAGAAGAGCAGGAGCGGCGCCAGGAGGAAGAGGAGAAGCGGAGGCGCGAACAGGAGCAGCACCCCCTTGACCGGATCTCCATGAAGGATGCGCTGACCATCGCGTCGGAAAGGCCTTACTCGCCGTTCGTCATCCTACCGCCGCTCGTCGAGTTCACGCCGTGCTGCATGGCCGAGACAACGCCGTGCCAGCCCATACCGCTGCAGACCAGCGCACCGTCGGGCCCACCCCAGCAGGCGCGCGGCCCCCAGTTTAACCCCGTGGACATGCCGCAGCTCCTGCGTCGGCCAAATGAGGCCCTGGGTGCCTTCCGCCCCTTCCCGTCATCGTCGTCGACGACCACGTCCACATCGGAGGGCCGTCGGGTGTCGTCCGTAGCGCTGTGTTCCGTGGTTGAGCACACTGACATCCGCTCATCCTCGCCCGTTCGCAAGGACTTCGACGTGTTCGTCCCTCGCTCACCGACCCCTAGGGCTGGGCTCGGCCAACATCCTGGGCTGGCCCAGGCCTCGCCAGCTGCCCGCCAACCGCTGCCCCTTGACGACCGCAAGCGCAACCCCTTCGTGGAGAAACCACTTAGATCGCCGATCTCGGTCCCGCGGTACCAGCAGACCTCGAGCTCCGCGCCGCCGCCACCCCCGCGAACCGCTGGGTCACCCGCCGGGCCGGGGTCCCCCTCGCAGGGTCGCAGGGAGCAGCCTGCCGTCGGCGTCACACCATCAACGCCCCAAGCACCGCTGCCGCAGCCTACGTATGTTCGCAAGACGCCACCGCCTAGCCCGAGACCGACTGGCGGGCAGAGGACGACGCCCACCCCCGGGTACGCCGTGTCACCCCTGGCGGGCCGAGCGTCCGTGTTCGGCCACCACGGCTTGCGCGCGGCCGCGCCCGCCTTCAGCCGCGAGCGCCAGGGACCCGCGTCCGAGCCGCGCCGCTCTCAGCCCGGCATCCCCAAACAGGCGGGGCAACACCTACCCCACAAACCATCCCCCTTGTGCACGCCCCCACCTGCCTTCACCCTCCCGGACCCCGAGCCTGAGGACCCCGTACCCCAGCCCCAGCCTCAGCAGGACAGCAGGCGTTCATTCCAGAGAGTGGCAGACTCACCCCCCGCAGTGGCCCCCTCGCCATCCCCTGCTCAGCCCCGCCCGTC